GCGTCATGTAGGGGTTTAGGTGTGAAGGTGAGAACATCGAGCAAACTAGTTTCGGGTTTTCGCACTTATACCCCACAAAAACACGAAAAGTCACGTTTTTTCTCCTTTTAAATTATCACGGGGGTGATTTCGTCAGGAATTTGTTTGATATTCTGTTATCCGGAATCCTCCGTCCAGTATACCTCAACGTCTTTCCTCCACAGTGACATTTTCTGCTTCGTGAGAGACGTCTTTAGAAAAACTAACCTGCGATTGGAAACTGCGAACCCATAACCGTCATCCTGAAATATCTACTCCCAGATAGGTACGTGTGGTTGACTTGGGCTAGTCTAAAAGGGATTATCCTGCATCACCAAATGCTGTGCAAATTGTTTGGGGTGTACTTGGACTAGGAATGAAACGATTGCGTGGCAAAAGCGGTAATCGTGTCCTGACCAATCTAGACTTTTAATACCACTTGAGTTGCTAAGGTCATTTACTGTGCAATTAGACAAGTGTCTACACAAATTCAAGTGGAGGGGAACCGATGACGCATTGACCAAACACGTGGGACATCGTCTGTACAAAATTAACGTAACAAAATGTGGAAGTAGCAAACGCTGAAATGCACATGAGTAGTATAAATCGTGGATAGAATAGAAAGTCATTCAAGCAAGTAGTTCTACAGTTGAATCCGTGCCAGTCCAATTGGGTGACTCGAGGTGGAACTAGAGAAGGATCAAAATTGATTTGCGACGAATTTTAGCTCCACACTGTGGTCGCCAGTGCTTTTCTAATTTTTACTACCTAAATAATTCTTTTCCAATTGTAGCATGCTATGCTGAGATTTCACCTTAGCGCATAGCTAAATTTCACCGGAACGAACTTTCGCGATTTTGTCGTCAAATTTACGAACCCTAGAAAACTGGTCGCGTCGACTCCTTTTAACGATTAGGTGAGAGTAGGTTTAGTGCAATCTCGTGGCAGCTTTGAACGCACAACGAGTATTGTGAAGCTCAGAAGGCAGTAGTGCTAAACATTAATACTCACTGCACGTGATATCTGGTTTCCATGGTAAATTGACCCGGTTTTAGACTGATTACTTCTCGTGGTATTTGTGAATTAATTACGCCGCCGCGCAAATAAGGGAAAAATACAGCAGCGTTCCATGAGACTGTGTTTCAGTGCATCATCATGCTCTGAGGAAATCCACACACTCACTAAGCCTGTTGCCATCAATAACACATGCCTGCTTAACGAAAAACACGCGGCCATGGCCCCTAATACTGCCATTTTTGTTGGCGCTTAAACCGGTTTAACGAGAGAAGCTAGGAGTTCTGCTTACATGCGTAGCAAGACTTGAGTTGGCTGGCCTTTCTCGGTGTTGTCGTTGCGTGAAAAACTAAGGTCAACGTGGCAGTGGCTGCAGCGCTGTCAGTGCATTTAGGCACAAGTGCGAGCGATACTGCAAGGTGAAGGCAGAGCCAGAAATGTGCGCTGAAGAGTGAATCGCGGGTTCAAGGGCAAGCCGTCAACGACACACTACTTGAAATTTGCAGAAATCTTAGTGTTCTGCATTTGCATGTAGTTAGTTGGTAGGTGCTTAACACTCGAGTGTTTAGTTTTGCTTGCAATAATAATAGCAATTAGCATGTTGATCCATTTCATGGCCAAAATTTGGCAATCTAGTACAACCGGTTAAACTAAATTTGTAGAAAAATGAATAACCTTGCCATAACGTGCTGTAAACATGCATTTTAGACATAAGTTTTGGATCGAAGGCCGTGAAATATTGACCACGGCATCTGAGGTTTCATGCGAAACTTGTTCGTCGCTGTAAAACGAGATCTTTTGACAGTAAAGTTGATATTAAAATACGTGGACTAATTAGAATCACGTGTTCACGTTATGCGTTGCTCACGAACTTCAGCACAGACTTAACCTTCGAACAGGGCACAAGTGTTTCGGTGTCATGCAGATTCGTGAACATAAATAAATGTTTCAAGACCGTTGGCATCCACATAATTCGTGTTCACATCCGGTAATTAAACAGTTTGCTTAGGGTTCTTACTCCTCCGTGTAATTAATCTGAAAACCAAAAATGAGCCCTAACTACTGAAAAGGTTTTAGTAGAACATTATTCAAATTCAAACGCCGTGAATCACCGACGGATGTGGCGTGGTTAGGGGATTAGAGTAAACAATGACGAAAAACCGGCAATGGGCCATCTTGGGAAATACTGGATCCCCAACAATATTTTACCTAAATTACTCACTTCCAATTGATGATTATCCAGCATATAACCTTGACTCACGTTTCCTTGTGCCAAAGTAACTGAAATCAGCATAGGTTACGTTGTTGATGCTGTGACGAAAAATATCTTCTAAAATCTTGCCCAATATGCGCAACATGCTCCTAATCAAAAGTCACATAATGACGTCCGCTTCTGAGGAGTCCGGTACGACTTCTTATCATACACTCACGTGGTGCACAGAACCCCAATGATCAAAACTAGCAATGTTTTAGACACATGCAAATTCTAAGACATCTGGCCAATTGAGAATGACGTTATTGGTGAGCTAACATGACTTTCAAGCCGTGTATGTAGATTACTTTAGTTAAGGCCTATTAGTTGAGGATAAAGACGAAATGAATGTAAGTTTACATAGGGAGAAAACGTAGCTTTCGGGAATAAGGCCCAACTGCATGCTGGTCCGAAATCACCCCTTGACGTAATCATCAGGTGCGGCCAGCAATGACAAATCGCTTTGCCGTTATGCATTATAAATGATCGATCTAAGAAGAAACCGGGGCTTTTTAACAATTCAACATATCACCTGCTAAGGAAAGTCCATGAAAAACCAAGTACGTGTAATTATTATGTACAAATGATCAAAGCACAAGTAGGAATGAGTGGTGGCTAGTTGGCTGGCGGTTTGTTGGATTTGGGACCAGCCCAGAGGAAGTCATAAGCAGTGGGATCGAAGGTGTCGGCGAATTCACTCTCGTCTTGGAGAGCGAGACGTGCACGTGGCTTCCGGCGTTGGAGACGACGAGCTCGCTCCTCCTCATCACATTCGTTCAAATCAAGCGGTAACTGAGGGGAATGCGAAGACAACAGTTGAGAACAACACGGAAACGAGATTGAAATACAAAAATTAGTCACATAATTGATTGAGGTGACATCGGATCGATTGGTCATTTCATCGGCTACTTCTCTGTTCGATATTTGACTTCATAACCTCATACACGTGCGCATTCAGTTGTCAATTACGAGCTTCCAGACAGGTTTTACTTCGACAACCACTTCAGAGTAGTTAATCTTGCTAAAAGCTTTCCGTTACCACTTCAGAGAAGTGCATAAATGCACTCCAATTAGAATACTCTTTCCTGTTCAAATTCAAGTCAAATAACCTCACAGATTTAATTCCAAATCAAATGACACAGAGAATAAGTAGAATTTCAACCACTGCCATATACTCCCGCCAAGTATGTGGAGTCAATGATAACTTCCCAAAGACAATTGGGGCTATTTACAATTAATTTAGAGAAAATATGAACTACAGTGAAGTACTAACAAGGCCTTTTTAAAAGTGTTTATAAGAAACACAGATACTTCAATTTTCAGCAAGATTAGATGAAGTTACTCATGTATTCGATCCAAAAATACGAAACGCAAATACTACTACAGTTTAGAAAATACAATACGTGACATTTACACTCGCGAGGAAGCGTTGCATGCGCTCTAGACATGTCAAATATTCCCTACATTCTGGGTCATGATAGCAAAACTAAATACCCACTAACTGATTTAGATATCTCAATGAATATTGGCAGAAAAAGAATTCAAAAGCAGAACTTGCTTGAAGTAGACATCGAGGTTCCTTATACCTAAGGCGGATGGTAGCTCCGTTAGCCAAAACCAAATGAACTGGGTAAAAACGACCGTAGAGTTTGCGATTTACACGGGTAATGCAAACCCTTGTAGAGGAAAAGCATTGTGGAATTCTAAAATGTACAAATTAAGGTGAGACGTCGCAACGTATTTTGTGCGGCATAATCAGATTATTCAGAAAACACATGGTACCCAACATTGGAAAGCGAAAATAGTGTTCGATCATACCTTAAAGGGTAATGAAGCATCGACATACGATGAGCGGCCGCTACAATTGCCGACATTACACCTGGACAAAGCAAGGAGAAAGGTATAGAAGTAACAAACAATAAATTGTAGAAGTAAGTTCTGATGCAAGAAATCAACAGCCAATAACTTAGCTTACAAAATAATATCGCATAAATTATTTTAAAAAAACATGGTTTTCATAAAGTAGAGTCGCTGTTTACCGAATATTGTGTCCCCGCACCGTAGGCTAAAATTCGGCACTATTTTTAAGAAAAATCATTGCGCTACCTAACGCGTTAATAACCTGACAATCTACTAGGGCAGAATTGACGTTGAATTACATACGAATACACACCAACAAATGTAAATCCTAGTCGAAGTTACGCTAGCGGGCATTTTATGGAACATTGGGTCCTATAGGACATTGATATCCTGATGAACAAGTGTGGGTATTTTAGCTATTAGGAGTCAGCACAACATGAAACGGCATGTAAGCTATGTGTTCAAGAGCACACTTGAATTACAGAATGTTAAGTGGAAGCTGCGGTGTACCGAGTACAGATTCCAAATTAAAGTGCAAAAGATGACAAAATAACAGAATGCAACGGGCATAGAACAAAAAGAAATGTGAAAACTAAACTCCAAATTTCACGTACAGTAGCTACACACAATCTTAAAAAGTCCGCCTGAAAACCTTAGCTAAGCCTTTTAAAAAAATACATTTATATTTACAGCATAATATAATTAAAAATGATTTCAGTTTGTGTAGTGGCAATAAAACTAACAGGGTGATGCCACTGAATTTAGAAGTTTATGTGGTACTTCAAGGACGTGCCTGCGGCTTCATTTCAAGGTTGATGAGAGTAGCTGTGTGCGCGCTCCCGCTTGTCCCCCTACGATGGAAGCATCTCTGCGAGAAAAAATGTTTAGGGACTTGGAGGCTGTGGAGGCCGCAGCTGAAAAGATAATAAGTTCTCAAGAAAGATGCAAATTGTACGAGATAAACAGACGGAAGTCCCAGGAAGCCCTTAATCGGTTGAATGACGCTTTCTCGCCTAAGAACGTTTGGGCATGTCTCTCCCATCAGTTTTTTGAAGTTCCCAAGTCATCCCTGAAGACGGCACTCAAATCTGATATGGATACTTTGTCGAGCGAGATCAGTTCTCTAAGAGATGAAATCAAGCGTGACCTCGACAACTTACGCGAACTTGAGGGGAAGAATCCGTTGAAGGGGTTTAATCTGCGTCCCCTTGCTAAAGATGAACTGTCTGCCATTACTGGTTTGTATTAACTGTTTCTTTGTAAATTAATACAATAAACTCTACTTTTTGTCGAAAACGTCTCATTGAATTGATTTAGTTCCCTGGACATTTGGTAACCCCGATACTGCAATACAGTTTTCTTGTCTTTCGTTTCTCTGCTTTACTCTTGCATCCAGTGTTGGTGACTGATCGCTTGCAGTGCTTGGCTTTTCGTCTGAATATTGAGTTTTCGATAAAGTATATCAGGCGTGTGCAAAAGGTGTCGTGGACCGCTTGCATGTTATGCTTGATTGCATACATGACCCCTTATTAGGTTGAATTATATAAAGGTACTGCCTTTGGCGAAGTTTTGGTTCTCAAATTTTGCTTAAGTCACTTTACCTGCTCAATCACCTTGAGTGTAACGTTTCCTATGAAGGTAAGTGTTCTCAATGACCTTCGACCTTAGCAGAAGGGGAACTTTATCCAATGTATTCGCTTAAGAATTGACATGGTATCTTTAGATTGAACTGTGCCTAATTAGCTCTACATTAAATAGGATTGCATACTTCCGCGGCCCCCTCAGGACAAATCACATAGACGATACAACCCTCTCACTCAGGAGTGGGTAGTCGTGTCGCCAAACCGCATCCTCCGTCCATGGACAGGTGCCGTAGAAAAGTTGTCTCCCCCAGGCGGTTCGATGCAGTGTGTTACTTCCCCGGCAAAGCCCACTGCCTTGGCCCCGGGCGCTACTCGCTCAAACGGAATGGTGAATCCATTCTACGAAAGCACATACACATTCCCGAACGACTTTCCGGCATTTGTGCGTATTATTTGCCTTTAGCATTTAATATGTCGATATAGTATGGGAATACCACAAGCAGAGGTATGATGTATAGTCATAGTACTGGGCAATTACTAAACTTGTGAATTAGGAAATGTTGTCACATTATGTTCCATAAACTACAGAAAGTCTAGCTCTGGCGTCTCTTATTGAAGGATATAGCTAATTTGACTTAGGTCCCCAATGTTTCCCCTAACCCTTGGAGTAGAGTGGCTTTCAAGGCGTTTAAATGGATCTTTTCTGTTATTAAATCCAACGCTTTGATGCATTAATGACAGATTTCCTTTGCTAGTTGGCGTTTGCTTCAACAGTAGCGTTGTTAATTGGAAGCGGACTCTTTCTTCAAACTTTTTTTTAAATTTCAATAACCTTAGCTATTTTGACAGTTAATTAGGTTTAATATTGTCCAGCTTCTTAATACCTTTTGTCATGTGGACAAAAGTATATACTATGCCCAGGTAAACGTTGTCATTGGTCGAAATGACACTGGACAGCCGTATATCTATCCGGCTACTTTCTTCGAAACATCTTCGTTTTTAGTCTGCTCGTCCTAATGAAAAGATTCACGATTTAACAGAAGATGCCCAGCTTGCTCAATCCACTGATCCGCTTTTCGCTTGGGCCCTAGCCACTGGAGAGTGCTACGTCACATGCTTTCACCCACGACCCGATCTTACCTTGGCTCTCATGACTGAAGCCGAAATCGTCAAGGTCATCGAAGAGTGGTGCCGTCTGACCCGTGAGTGTGCTGATCGCGGTTTCCAGTGGGTGCAGGTGTTCGAGAATCGTGGGGAGATGATGGGATGCTCAAACCCCCATCCTCATTGTCAGGTGCGTCAATTAGCCTCACCTTGAACTTCCCCTCCCACCACTCTCCTCACTCAACTATAAGCGTCAACCGGACCGTAGCCAATACGTGTTGTGTGATTCCCGAGTGGGGTTCTTTAAGCCCTGTTTCTTGGCCTCTTTAGGTGATTTCGGGTATTATCTAAGGATCAGTAAATGTGCATTCTTATGCTTGTAATGAGTAGCTTGTAGTGTCAATTATTCCTAACTTAACTCCTTATGCTAGAGTCAATCTAATTTCATATCCTTGTGCATAGAATCATTCGTAATTCATCTAGAACGTCATCGGCTACTGTCGAAGGACTCCCACTGCGCGAGTTGGTGGGTGGCAGTTAAAAGGACATGTGATTGCTTGAGTGAGTCCACAGCATCGTTTAAACTGTTCATATGCAAATCAACCATGCCCGTACCGTTTTGAGATCCCCGGTTCAAGTTGTTTACGCTGCGGTGCTTTCACGTCTGCGTGCACTGCCAGCGTCGGGTGAAACGTCCAGCGCAATTTATAACGGCTACATTGGTGTGTAAACACACTTCGGCTAGATAAGCGCGCACCAGTAATCATTGCTACCGTTAAGCAGTTTGTTCTGGTGACTGGTTCAGACTCTAGGTCAACTCTCTTAGGCTCGTTCGGAAATCTTCAAAGCGTGTGAGAGTGTAAATGTGTGCTTGGCTATCTTAGGCTCCTAAATTCAGCCCATTAATTTTATTATGGTCATTATTAGCATTGCCGCCCACAACTGCCGCTGTTACGATTATAATCGCGAACAATGCCATCGTATTGGTCTTGGGCGTTTTATACCTCAGAGGGTATTATTCATAGTATCAATCTTCACAGTATATGTGCCTACCAATCTGAAACAATCCAAAGGCTAATTAAACACTGGAGATCTCAGAGAGCATCAGAAAAATTAAGCACTGGAGTAGTTTAGCACGTAGCAGAATACAGATTTACAGTGGCTTGGTCGTGCAAAAGGGAATTGTGGCATCATCAATGCATGGGTAAAAGCAGCAACATTCAGAAGGTTTTTCGTGTTCGCCTAGGTATGGGCAAGTGACTTCATTCCAACAAAAGCTCTTCGCAGCGACAACGGTCAGCAAGACTACTATCTGCGTCACAACAGTCCACTTCTCCTTGATTACGTGAAAAGAGAACTGGCGGCTTCCGAGTCGGAAGAAGGGGGCCGTGTGGTGGCTTCCAACGAGGATTGGGTCGCTCTAGTCCCATGGTGGGCGGCGTGGCCGTTTGAATGCATGCTTCTGCCGCGACGACGACACGTAGGTCGTCTGGATGAGCTGAGCGCTGAGGAGCGCTCAACCCTCGCCAACGTGATGTCGCGCGTCCTTGTGGGCTATGACAACCTCTTCGAGACGAGTTTTCCTTACTCCTTCGGATGGTATCAGACGCCTCTTCAAAGATCCGATAAGGCCTCCTACTGGCAACTCCACGGCATCTACCTGCCTCCTCTGTTGAGATCGGCCACCGTGAAGAAGCACATGGTGGGGTACGAACTGCTTGCCGAGGTACAACGAGATTTGACACCTGAAAAAGCGGCCCAAATGTTGCGTGAAGCTGCTGCTCGTGAGCACTATAGCAGACGAAAGCCGTAATGTGTGTGTGTGCGTGTGTGAATGCAAAAATCAATTGCAGAAGTTTTATTTTCCGTTTCTCCTTTGCTCTCAATACGTAGCTGCTCAATGTGATTTTAGGTGATTGCTTTCGACCCATATTCTAGTGATGTCATTGCTTAGTGATTTTCCTATCATAGGATTAAATAAATGGATTTGCAACCTTTTAATTGAAAGCCTTGTGGACAGCAATTTCATGATGCTATTGACTTTGACCAATTCGTTGTACTCAGCTCCAACGGACGTGTTATACAACACCATCTAAAATGGCAATCACTGCTGCATGTCAATGGTTTGGAACTACTGTCTTTTACAACACAAAACTTTTACAATCTGGCTTGATTTCCTGGGCAAAAGGTCAAATTCACCCAACAGTCCTGTCAAACGCTGGTAATTTCAGTTTGTGGGTGGCTATATTGTTAATGTGTGCATGTCTTTTGGAATCCTTGATGTTTTAGAAGCAAAAGATTCTGGGAATGCCTAACGGATCTTCCTACAAGCACGTACAACTTGCTATATGTGATCACTGATGCGTTTTTAATCCCATTTTACGCTAATAATCCATTTGGAAACGCGGCGTCGTCTGTCGTGAGCTCAAAATGCAATTCCGGGGCGAGGGGAGACAAACACGGAGTTTTATGAGCGCGTAGTCACCAGTGTCGCGCCAGTTCAATGCACCTACGTCCACTCACGAATGCAGTCTGTAGATTTACTGGTAAAATCCCATTAAGGTACTTTTCCAGAGTGAAATTTTGGTTCGTATTGCTGCAAGGGAATTCGTAATGTTGCTGCAAGCAATAGATGCAAGGACGTGATCACTAGCGACTGGGAGTTTGGTACAATGCGAAACTTACGTGGCCGCAGGGTAGCAGATAGCGTTAAAAGTTGATAGGACACTGTAAAATAACAATTGTACTTCACCACTGACCGGAAAACCCAATGGCCATTTTTTGTAGCACAAACATCGAACTCAATCGAAAATCGGATGAATTTAGTTTTTGATGGAAATTATTTAAATTCAGATATGATGTGAGGTCATCTTGTGTAGGTTTGTGCAGGCTCAGGTATCGATTTTCGAAACGTCTTCTAGTTAAGCCTTCAAATGTTTCGGGAAATTGGATGATTGCATCGATTGCCAATCTCTGGTTACTAAACTAGGTGAGCTAAAGACTAAATGTTGATTTACTCAAGTGGCGTCTTCCTGGAGGTACAAAATTTGTCAATCAATTTGAGGTCTGCCGCTCCCCGCATGGCTTTTTTAAAGAACGTAGGAGCAACGACAGCACATCTCAAGCAAAGATGTTGGTTGCAAAAGGATTTAAGGCCGAAAACAGCGCTAACAACCGTTAGCTCTGCGTGCTAACCGGGTATACATTTTGAAAAACTTGCATGCCGATTTAAGTCTAAGGGGTGGCTTAAAGAACGTAAGCGTTCGGTTTATCTGTGTTCACATTAAATCGTCAGAACAGTTTGATTCCAAAAAGAAACAGTGAGATTTAGCTATTGAAAAGGTTTTAGTAGAATTTAATTCAAATTCTGTAGGCTATTAACGCCAATCAGGATTCAATTCATGTAAGAACTTTGTGACTAATTTTCCAAGATTAGCGTAAGCCAAAGTTGAATTAATAGGAAAACTCATTGTAAAGAAGCGAGATGATTGAAACAGAAAATCTTGTTGAAAAAATCGTTCCACGAAAGTTAGCAGACAGTAAAATTCATACGTCAAAATTTAGTAAACTCGATCACCTTCTATAAATTAAGGACAACGCTCGTGAATGTCCACACAGCCATAAGCAAATTACATAATACCAGAGCACCTGCTTCGTATTTTACCAAAACTAGGCATTTCCAGTAGATGGTCATCCAGTATGTAGTTTTGAATCATATTTTCTTGTGCCAAAGTAAGTGAAATCAAACCAGGTAAAGCGGATAAATGTGAAACTACGACAACAATATCTTCCAAAATCTTGTCAAAAATGAGCGATATGTTCCCTATTATATGTCAAATTATTGTTCCCACTTCTGATGAGTTCGATACAACTTCTACCACGCAGTTTCGTATTTCAAACAAGAATTTTGGTTGCAAAAGGGTTTAAAGCGAAAAAAACGGCTAAGATGTGATTAGCTGGTACACATCTGGGAAGTCTAGCCTGACCAATAAAATACGCTACTGATCTAAATCTTGCGGGTAGGGCACAAGTAACTGCTAGGAACACAGAGAAAGATTTAAACTCAGAAATGAGGTGGTGATTTCGTAGGGTTGAAGAGATGTACACGAGCTTGCATTGATGTTTGGGAGATTGTTTGTGATGATTCTCAACTCCGCATCTGATACGAAAGTCATATTAATGGAGCATGTTAATTTCAAAATGTCATGAGAAATTCACTAGATAATCCTTTTATCATTTCAGTTTTATCACAAATGAATTCATCTTTCAAGGAGACTAAGTCGATTATTGGCCGGTCCTTTATACTTACGCGCTTTAGTGTCCATCACATGGAGTAATGCTTTGAGCAGGCAGTGTTTGGCCACGGAAGCCTCGGTGGGAATCTTTTTTCGATTTCAGTAAACTTGACTGTTTCACTTTGAGTTCATGTGAATATTGCTTCGAATTAGGATGCCTTGGAACAGCTTGAATTTTAAAGAACCCAGACCGAGTTGTGCGCTGAAGTGCACATTTAGAATTCGTCAACTCCGAATTCCTAGGTAGGTGGCGGTTGTTGACAAGCCACGCAGTCTTGGATTCCGTTCTTTGTGGAACTTGACCGTGCGATGCACTTGCGCTAGAATCTAAACCTCAACTAGTGATTCCGCGTATAGTCGGGTGTATGTTGAGGACAAGACTAGGTCTACGGAATCTGCAACCTGAGACAATTGACTATGCCCAAACTCCCAGGGCTTCAGTTAGGGTGAATCGATTTTAATTGCATGAATGAATTAATATCTCCGATCAGTGGACTAGCACAAGTATAATTTATATGCAAACTTACCCAAAGGAAAGGTTAATGCAAATTTCGGAAAAAATTGTGGGTAGCCTGGTGTTTTACAGGAATGTTATGTCATTTTGGACAAACCAATGTAACATTTCCCAAACATGGGTTAATGTGTTTGTAGTCAGTTCAAGTGTCAAAGGTCAGCTGCGGTTTTTTAAGCGATTTACTTTGGTGGCGAAAAAGATGATTTAGTGTAAGTGTGTGGGAATATCTGGTGAAACAGGTGACTGGTGTGATAATCCTCGTCTGATAATTTAATCTCTTGCAAATCCGCCGATTCTGCTCGCTAAACACCACCAAAATGGGAGAGTTGACATGTGGGTATTTTCTACATAAAATGAAGACTCGGCATAAGCCAAACTGAGGAAATTATCAATCCTGGTTTCATCATTTACCACTTACAATTAAACCATGTTTATTTCGGAGCTTATTTGCCAAACACAATGCACAGTAGTGCGGAAAAGAGATACTCGTGTTTACTATAAACAAATCAGGCTGATACTAGGTTGTTTGAAGCTAGCATTGGAATTTTAGCAATTAACAACTTCTATTCGGAATCTGGATCAAAAGTTTTATAATTTTTTTGTCACCTGAGCTTAATGGGCCAGTAAAGATATGATATTTTCTAAAAAAAATTAGCTAAATCCGGTTTTATAATTATCAGTTATTTAATTAACTTTATAAAGAGCAGAACGTTTAATTCGAAAATTGAGGAGTGAGTCTGATAAAGATAACTCTTTTAAAGCATTAAAATCACAACGACTGACAGGAACGCGGTAGCAACTAAGATGGCTTAATCTTTGCAGTGACTTGCAACTTTGTGGGCCCTCGAAAAAAAAGAACAACGAAGAGGCCTTCCGACAAATGTTGTAGTGGCCATTCAGCTCTTTCACAATTTAGAGAACCATACAAAAAGCCATCCGAGTTTCGAAAAGGCGCCTTTAAACGTTAACTGTTACCACATAAGCAGATTTCAGGCATACATGCCATCACTGTCACGGATATCGATTAAATCTTCCGGCTTCAGCAGTTAGCTACATTTTTACGAAAGACCACAGGAAAACAAAAAGAGATTTGCGGTGATCTGCGGTTTTTAATGTTCGGTCGCCATTCAGGGGATTTCTACAAAATTTTATGTGTTGGAAATAAGTAGCGAGTTTTTAAAAATTATTTAAAAATTCGCACATAATTCAAGCCACCGACAATAGTATTAGCCTTGCACCCGTGGGAATCGGGTTAGTTAGTTGCTACTGTGTTGAGATTGCAAATAGAATTGAATCTCTGGCGTGTCTAATGACCAAGGAGCAACTTGATCATATTGTGCACGTTAGTTTGCTGGGAGATCATTCCAGCTTCATGCATGCTTATGGAGGATTCTCAGCTACTAGTGTATTTTGCCTTGAATGGGTGTGCGAATCAATGTAGGCCAAGGTTGAAAACACTTAAATGACCGTGGATTAACCGTAAATCGGTGTTATTTTGGCGGTGGAGACCTGACGTGTTTACGTTGGCCTCTAGCTTTATGCCATTTTGCGCACTTAATTCTGACGGGCGGCTAATGTGTGGTAAGTCGGCTCTGAATCACCACCATCGTTATCGACCCCTCGTTAACGCTGGAATTCTCGATCGAGCTGAATGCAAATGGCAACATGAATAATCCTACCCCTTTTATGCTCAGAATAGTAAGGCGAGTTGGCACAGGTGAATGCCTAATATCTGGCTCTCTAGGGTACATCGACCAAGGCGTTTCATATTTCTAGCACCTGGTACATCAATGTTTACAAAAGCCTACAGAGTGTTCGAGATATATCGTAGGAGGCACTGTAGGTCATCGTTTTTTGCTTTGAAAATGAAATGACTAATACAATGAGGACATTTTTTCATATTGGTTCCTCTCAAGTTGCGTCTTTCTTTTATTTGCTGGGGAATTAGACTTTCTTGTCGAAGTTCTGTTATTGATTTGTTCCCAAGCACCATTTGACACCAAGCATATTTACTTCGTCGTGAAACAACGACGTTGAAACAATCTTACTAAAACGTCTTCTGCATAACATTCTGCCAAAACGGCGAGAGCATTGTTCAAATCTGTTTTGGTCGATAAAAATAAGTTTACAGGTTAGGGCAAACATTAGGAAGAGGATGCAGCACGTCTAAATGATTTTTCGAGTTCCCCTTGACGAAATACCTATCTGGAGTGGATGACTTGTATAGTAATCATAAATCATGGACCGAAATTAACGGAGGAACTAAAAGATTTTATCAGAGCAAAATGCATGCAGAGGTGCATCAATAGGTTTCATGAGAAACACTGAAACAAAAACAATTGTAAATCATGGACGGTATGAGTTTTGCGTTTTAATTTTCATTTACCTACCATTTAAGCAAATTTTTGCAATTACCTTCATTTTGTTTATGCAGTCGTCAAAATTAATAATTCTAGTTATTTGTTTGACAAATTGTTTATTTTCTAACCAAACAAGTAACTTTTGAAGGGGCTTCGCGCCCTTATTACCTGTTTGAGAGGTAGGTCCTCTTAAAGTCTTCTAAAATGCCCACAAACTACTCTGGTCATGTGTTCCTGGGTTTGGCATGCACAAAGAACGGGGCAAATTACTCTCAAGTGTTTTACGTAACATTTGCACTCTGAGGTCATATGTTATGATGGCATTCAACATAGTGACGTTTTGCGTAGGCTTATTTGCACTTCTACATTCACGGCTATACTGTTATATCATAGCTCACATTCAAAAACATCCACATCCTCCATTTTGACACACCCATGTCATGTTTACAGCTTTGTTATGGTCGGTGTTGCCGACCGGCCGAATATTTTGTGGACGTCGCAATCACACGAGATCAACTTTCCGCTGTCCTCAATATTACATTCCACGTCAAGCAGCCTGTTGGCCAGGGAGGACAGCATAGCCTTGTTTTCAAGAGTGTTCACGAAGTTTGTCAAAATCGCAAAGCCCAACTTCGCACAGAACTTTAGTTTCCGGTGGCAATGGACGGCTTTTGACTCGGACACTCCTAATGTCAGCTGTTCCGCTGCTTGCATCAGCAGAATCCTAAGAGGGATTTGACCTTACCTTAGCTCCTGAGGTCATGTCTCTGACACGAACTATTTTAAGCCAGTTTCGAACTACTCTGTCCAAATTCACTTCACGCCCTCACTGCGGTCAAAACGACATCAACGGTTCCGCAACACGAAATTTCGTGAATGCACCTTGAAACTGTGCGGGTATACCAATTGAAACCTCAAGAATCTGACTTATTGGAATGGGATTAAAATGCAAGTTTTATTATCTGATTAAAAATGCAGTTTTTTAAATGTGGAGTTCAGAGTAAAATCAGCGGATATAGCGCAACAGAGCATTTCCGTTGGAAGCTGTAGGCCTAATGTTATATTGCCAGCTATACTCTTGAAAATTTTGATGTTTAAAGGCAACAGATATGACATTTTGTGGCATTTTTTTCGATGCATTTCTTTTTATCAATTACCAAACAGGGAACCTGTGTAAAATGTCACAGTCACCCGAAACTGCCTTACTACTCATTGTAGAAAACAGTGAGCCTAAAATAGGCGGATTCGCATAATTGGCAGACAAATGAAGAGGCTGGTTCCAACGTGATAAACAAATGCATCACAGTCACGTCTCCTATAAAGGAACCAATTGAGTGTGGACCTAAAGACTTGAAAATTTCTATAAAACATAAGTGACATGCCCCGGTGTTCACAGAGTGAAGTTTAAATAAGGCCTAGTGTTTGACTCGGTTTACTGGATATAGGTTAGCTAACACATGGTCGCTTTGATAAACGACAAGTATAGTCAACCTCAACTTGTAGGGGATTACGTTAGCTGTAATTTCACCATTTTGACATAAGGAGAACATGAGTTCAAAAAAAAGAGGGAACAGTATCATTGTAAGAATATTTGAAAGCCTAATTTAGTTCTTTTAAAACTGTTTGCACCAGAATTCAGTTGTATTATTTTATTTTGCATTTCCACAATTATCCACGTAGCTAAATAAGGACTACTGATGTTTAAAATGTATGACTAATGAATAATAGAGCAGCTAAATCCGTTCGTGTAACCAAGCAACAATTAGTGAATCAACAGATTCCTTTTTGTCGCACTGTTATTAATGCCTTGCACTGAATTCAAGCCTTTGTACACTTATGCAGGATGGTCCAGGAGTGCCTAATGCCTGCGAATCAATGACATTTTAAACAAACGGAAGGTAGATTTTTGAACCGTGTTACGAGAAAATGTAAAATGCGAACTAGTATTTGCTCTACAGACGTCGCATTGTCTTCGAGTTCGATCACATCGGCATATTCCACATACGAGAACGGTCATATCAACCAATTAGCTCTTGAGTCTTTATCGTTCTTTGTCTCCCCACTAAACTTTGATAATTTGGGCCGGATCGATAAGTTAGTTTCTTCAGTGTTTTCGTCTTCGGAAAACCTACTTGGGCCTGAAACTCGTAGGCGTTCATGGAGCAGAACTTCCACAAAAAATTGTCTTTATCGATAACTTGTCCATTTTAACATCCCTATCACAAAATTTACGGTCCTAAATATCTGAACACTCATGTAGATTAAACGCAGACATTTTTGGAGAACCTCGACACCAATGAATGAATATTTGAATCATTCATATTTTTATTTTGGAGAATTTAATTCTACGTGAAAAGAACATTGAATTACCAAGATACCTCGCGAGATGAAAAAGGGCCAAGTTCAAACAGTTTGAATTCGTATCTGACCAGAAACAGTTCAGTAAAACAATAATTAATGAAGAAAAGAAAGCTGTGTACAATTGACGGAGACAGGTTGCAGTCTTTAGCCTTCAGTAAGAGGATACAAAAATCGGCATAAATTTGGAGTTCAAAGGCTTAGAGGGCCAACTTCTGAATCGTGGGTCAAAAATTCGCGTTTCATTGGTACCCAAGTGAGATCAACATAACCACACATTTGGGTCCGTGTGACCATTTGTGAAAGCTTGTTTTTTTGATTTTTTTTCCAAACATGGAACTGTTGTTTATGCTCTGGCGAAAAACAGGTATCACAACCGAAAAGGCTGTCCAGATAATGATTTAACTAGTGGCCATGTAATAGCGACGGGGTGTCATTTTTCAGCCCAATGAAAAGGTCGCATTGCGTATAACAACAAAACACCGCTGGCGCACAGTCTCTTAGTGGTTTTCGATCCCCTGATCGTCACTTGCGGAAACGTCTTTAGCCTACAGCGCAATAATCAACTACACATGACAAAAAGTGCATTGAAGGCAGGCAAAATTCAAGCCACGAAATGTCCTGAAAAATTCTTCCATGTACTTTTATAACATTTCCAGTTTGTGGCGGTATTTCCTGAGTTTCCGGCATCCAGTAGCGCATAGGCAATGTAGTCTCCGTCCATTTGGAGCCTGGATTCCTTATTGCCTGAGCAAGTTCTCGTGGCACTATGGCCCAGCAAACATTATCTACACGTTTCAATTTCGTCTTTAATGACAAGATACAATTCCATACATCAGTAAGATCCCAGGAGCTGTAGTCATAAATTGTACCGCCAAATATTAGTGATGGACAATCCAAAAGGTCGTAGACTAAAATCATAAGTTTATTCATGCATATATTAAGTTTAAAAGATGTTCGCGGACGTGAATGCAATCGATAAATTAAATCCTCGACCGATTAACCTATCCCTTGAAGTAGGATGATGCCAAAATTAAGCCGACACACATGAAGGCTATGAAAAAGGCCTAATGGTGTTAAGGAAGCTGCTACATCGAATAACTGGACGCCATTCGATAGAACCAGTACCCCCGCGACATGAGCCTGCCCGACTCTAGCGGATCCTGAAACGAAAATCTGGTGAGACCGCCTCCACGTTCAGCGTCTCTGAACAAGGCGACCAGTGGTTCGCACCTGGGCAGCTTCCAACCAGCAAGAATGTGGACGGTCAATCGTCCATTTTAACGACACCACTTAATGAGCCACATGAGCGTTTGGAACAGTAGCAAGACCCACGACCTAATCTTGATAGATGGCCGGAGTCCATGGATGAATGACCACATCATGCGGCATCTTGTTCAACTTGGAAGGTCCAGGTGCATAAAGAGTAGAGCGTTGAGGAATCATGTATTAGAAACAAGCAGTCAAGGTACGTGAGGTCATGTGCGGATCTTTCCACGTGCTTCGGAGAGGGGGAGGGGATATAGAAGGGTGAAGTCTGTACAAGACGAGCACGTGGGAAGAGCTAATCACATTATGGTATGGGCGTAAGAAGGACCTAGGTCATATAAGATACCCGTGCAAATACATTTGGGGCGGAGAGAAAGTTGGACAGACGGCCGATGATAAAACGAATAAAGCAGTACGAAGAAAGTAAATGCTGGGTGTTTCTTTTCACGCATGGAATGAGGGTTCTAGAACCTAGCATTAGGGTCCTTGTATGCCGTCCCAGCCGCAGCCTGCTGAGAGAAGTCAACACCTGAGCTGTTGTAGCCCCCCTCGATGTATTGCCGACGGAAATTGGGCGCCTGCTGACTATCGCCGACGGCTTGCTGGAGCAGTGCCATTGGTTGGCTTGTGGCGAGGTTGTTGTTACAGGTCGCGCCACCGCCGCCGGTTGCAGCTGCCGTGGCAGTGGCTTGGTGGTGCTGGTGTGTCCCGCTGCTGGACGATGGCGGCGCGGCGGGCTTTTGCTTCATGAGGGTCCAGTCGTACACCGAGTCCCACGCAAAGTCGTATGTCTTGAAGAGCTTTCGGAAAAGCCTTCGCAGGTAGAGGTAGTCGGGAGGAGCTTCGAAGACCAGCTCGCGGGCGTACTGAAGGTAGGTCTCGAATTCCACCGCGTAGCCCCGACACAGCTGCTCCGGAGTGGTCGCTAGCTTCTTCTCGTAGATTCGCTCGTACTTTTGCTTTTTCGTTGCGGCCTTGAAAAACGCCAGAATCTCGTAAGATACAACCGCACTCATTGTAAAAACATTTAGCCCACATAACTAACAAATGTTGATTAAGAGCTTCGCCGTTAACTCGGCTCTACATGTGCATTCGGATGGCAAAATGGGAATTGATGGTGTGACTTGTCCATAACACATACAATCTCCAAATTGACACGTTTGTCCCTAGGCTCAAACACCACATTCGCCGAAAATAAAGTGAAGATATCGTTAATGTCCCAAACCAACTTCTTGTTAAACTATGAAAAACTAGTTCTACAGCCTACGTCGGGTACTACCTAGGTGTCCATTTCAACGTTTTAAATGTACAGGATGACCATTGAACGATGTCGTGTTTGTATCGCTAATAATGATATACATTTTGTACAATTGTTGTGAGATTAGGTGGTAAATCTTGTTTTGTTTGTTTCTAACTTCACATTTTAAAAAATTGCTGCCCTTCAGCATGGCTAGCCCGAGGTACAAATATGAAATAGAAAACAATAGAAGCATAGCACAATGTCACTCATGTTGCGTGTGGCATTAAATGTCCCCATACACACAACAATCATCCAACGGATTCCAGACATTTAGCATGTTTGACTCACAAAAACGAAAACAGTTCCACATCGTATCTGTTTTTGGTAGGCAAATTTATGCATAGTTTATGGCAATTTATCAAGCGAGGACGAGAGTTAGAAACTCCTCTAGCTAATGCAGTTAGTGATTTTTCATTGCTCAGGAAAACCACAGCGTGGAACAGCTGATCTGCGAAATTAGTACATACGCTAAGATATCAGCTTGATAAAGTTCTTTCAACTTTCCCAAAGTAGAAGACATGTTTCTAAACACGAGATTGGCAATAAAAGCGCTAGGACGTAATAAGCAATTGTCTCGCACCGATAGTTTACGAAACAATTATGACAACAAAGGGCGGGCACACGAGTCACACGTTCGCAAACTGAGGTCGGTCTTTGCCAAAGGATTCAACCACCTTGTGCCTCTAGAATATACACGCCCACACATTCCCCACCCCAAATCATTTGTGACAAAATAATCGGTGCGGCGGGGAGGGTACGCGCGATATACATACAAGGCGCAAAAACTTGTTTACAAGACCTGAAACTTTATCTTATGGAAAACCACCTTTTTGTGATACGTTCAGTGAATTTGATAAGCATTAGTTTTGGTCAAGTGATACTGTAGAAAAAAAAGACGTTTAGCTAGGTTTTCTCAATTAGTAGCCATGGTCTGGGGCAAGCGTAAATCCTTGGTTTGAAAGTAACTCGAATCCGACTGTACTTGCGAAACCTGCAGATTCACGTGACTATAACAAAAGCGGTTGCTGTATTTCGGTATTTTGGGAGCAGAGTCCAAAAGTCTGATCTAGTTATACATATTGTACGAGTTCTCAACGCCCCCGAACGGCGTTTTAACTTTTTTCTATGCGAGCGCGTCTGATGGCACTTCCCACACAATATATGTGAAGCCACCTGCAGCGTGTAAAACACCAGTGGATTAGACTGCAGGCCTCCTGTGGCACAGCACAGCCTCATGGAGTGCATAAAACAGGAAACGGTCGGTGAGTAAATTGGCATTTGCAACACAAGATATCGAAAGCCATGAGTGTGAAGCAGTTAGAATTTACTGGTCTTACATGCTACTAAAATGGTGTCGATTAGCACCCGTGAATGTTTCAAATATGTGAGTTTATGTTTAATATAACAGTTAAGGCGTGAAGTGATCTGAAGACACAGCCCGGACTGTTTCTGTACAATTCAACCTTATCAACATTTCAAATGCCCTAGAACTGAAAAAAATCCGATTTTGTCGAATGGTGAAGTAAACAACGAAGCCAACAGCGAATAAACGATACTGACGAATTTTGATGGGACACGAAACTTGAGCGGTTTAGTTAGTCATCATCACAACCTCTGGGATTATAAGGAACTGTTTCCCACAGCTGTACTTATTCGAACCAAAGCATTTACAGCGCTCAGAATCAGACAAAACACCCAATAAAAAAAGACGTACTCAGTTGAGTTCAAGTTCATGATTTATTAACTAATGAAGGGGATCTGAGTAAAGACCGATTGAATTCGAGTCATGACTAGCACAATGAGTTTAGCCTAGAATACAATAGCACTAATTCAGTCAATCAATCACTAGTTTGTTTACAAAGGTAGTTCGAGTCATTGATGTGTACATAAAAAATTACATGACGAAACTTTAAGCAGTTATAGGGGCATCAGCATGCACTTTTGCAACCCGCGATATTTAGTACCACTCCACGAAATTAAACGGCGCCAACTGTAATCCCAAATTTGCGCGCAGCACATCATTGCAGAAGAGAGCGTTTTGGAGCAAACATGCACTCATATTCAGCGCAATAAAATTGAAGGTAGACGACATCAACGAAAAATGGCCTACCAAAGGCCAAATTGCAAAAGAGGCAAGAATATTGTGGAATATTAGTTTGCACAGACTTAATGCCCTTACTACGTTACAAAACCAAAACAATTTGACTCAGTTAAAAGGGCTTTATCCATGAGAACATTACTGAGACCCCAAGCAAGGCACACTAACCAATCGTGCAAAAGCAGCACCATCGGTTAGTTTTACACGATTGAGTAAAATCTTCAAGTCCCCAAATGTGATTAGTTTGCTGCAGAAGTAGGAAATCGGGTTGCTGACGGAGGCCAATCACTAGGATATCGTTTCAGAAAACCACTTGATGGTTTAGGGAAATAAACCTTTGGACGTATTTATACTGAACCGGTAAAGTTTATCTCTATCACCAGTTCATATTCTAAACATTACCTTGGCTGATGTGTAATACTTTAGGTATTTAAACTGAAGGACTGACACAAGTTCGTCATAGTAAATTGTAGCATGCTTTGGGTGGATTTTCGTTCTGGAAGCTGAAATTGGGAAGACCACCAAATTGTTTTATAAAAGTAGACAAAGGACTCGTGATCAGCAGAATGTGCGTACGTAGACAGAAACGTTTACACACTTGTGTGCGGTAACGAAAGCTCAAGCTGTTACAAGAGAAAAAAGTAGGTGTTGTAGGACAAGGCTGTGCAAAAGTAGTTACCGAACGGACGAAGATGGGAAACCACAAGAGTATGGAAATCGTAACGCTTATGGGAAAAATTTTGCATCTTAGTGGGACTGTAACACGTAAACAAACTTAGATCTTACGTCAAAACGAGAATTTAGTGGACAACGACTAGCTCAACGATCTGCCTTAATAGGTAACTTTAACTAGTCATTCTCGAAATGGTAAGAACCATAATTAAGAGGGAAGAATCTAGAATTGCCAGTAGTCTCATGGCTCGCTTTGAATTGAAAACCAGTAAATACGACAGAGGTCACGTCGATTTCTAATGCACCGTTAATTTTCAGTGCTTGGCTGTTATACTTGAAAGGTAAAATACCACCTAACAATAAATAAGCGTGTGTATTTGAGAAGATACATTATTCCATGAATAGATGAATAGAAATCAGAAAATATACATGTTTGTTGATAACAGTCATCGTCAGTCACCAGGAGGGTACCGAATAAAGTGTTGACCTATTTTGACAGATTTGCTTGGGCATGTGTAAACTGAAGCGGAATTATAATTACCCATATTAAGATATTATGTAAGTGTGACTAAATTAGTTACTGACTACACATTTTCAATCAAAGAGGTGAGAAAATTCACCTTCGTTTGGACTGCATTAGGAGTCGACTGAGTTTTAAATTCGGTGTCTTCTGATTCATTACGACGGTCATTTTAAAAATGTTGAACTTTGAAGAGGCTTGTTCAACAGCATACATTCAGACTGAACTTAATAACATAAAGTAGGAGACACAAAATTGTTTGATTTAAGGAAACCGGGAATAGGAAAATTGCTGGAACAAAGTAGTACGAAAGTCGGAATCAAAAGGCATATAAAATGATAACTCACTCTTAAGCCTTGCCAAGGAAGCTGGCCTCTAAGAAAATACATAAACACGTATCCTAGGGACTCGATATCATCCCTTCTCGATTGTTCATGACCAGCATGCGCATTGATACTGGCATATCTTGCAGTGCCTGTCAAATTTTTATCATCTCGAAACGGAATATGCATTTTTGTACGACTATCCCTGAAGTGGGTCAATAGGAATATTAAGTAGGGTACCTGTATTTTTTAGCGAGTCCGAAATCAACCAAGAATAGTCTGTTGCACCGTTGTCCTATTCCCATCAGGAAATTGTCAGGTTTAATGTCCCGGTGAATAAGATTCTTTGAGTGAACATATTCAACACGCCAGAGCATTTGTTCCGCCAACATAAGAACTGTTTTCATGGTAAACCTTCGACCAACGTAATTAAAAAGATCTTCTAGACTGGGACCAAGCAAGTCCATGACTAATGCACGATACTCGTTTTTGACACCATCAGGTCCAAACCAATGTATTCGTGGAACGGCAAAAGTATTCTGGAAAGTATTAACATTACATTATAGGAAGTACCTGAAGGAGACGGTAAACTCTATTTTCATATACAAGCTGTGGATGTCTGGCGTTCGTGGGCTCCAGTTTTACGGCTACCTCCTCGCCGTTTGTAATGTTAAGGCCAAGATAAATATCCCCAAAGGACCCAGCACCAATTTTGCGTATCAACTTCCATCGTTTCGCAACTACGAAGTCATTTCCGCTAGAAGAGCCAATAAGTTCCATCTAGCTCCAGTGTTTTCCCAATTAAAACCTGAACAACACCCCTAGGTATAGTAACGCCGATACAAAAAGCCTGCCAGACCTCAAAAAGGCATACCTTCTAGTAGTTTAAACAAAAAGCATGTGTCAAAATTGTATTTCGAACATCAAAAAAACGACAGGAATATCAAAAAATTGCAGCATATCAAGATGAAAACATTATTGATTTCAATAGCTTAATCACACTATAATTATCAACGTGACCACAACGAAAATGATTTAAACCGCGATTATTACAGGAAGATAATTACAACGATTCCAAATTAACAGCTCTTTTTCGGGGATCCGGTTGTATACAACGAGTCATTTGATGCTCTATCAATAATTACGATAATCCTTTTCAAAACAATTTCTGCATAATGCAACGGGAGACTTTTAACTTATCGTTGAGAAAAGCATACAATTTATCTAATCTGTCTTTGCTATAACCTTTGTAAAACAAATGATTTGGAGAAAAAAATTATATGTTAAAAATTTCAATTTTACTCATTTAACAAGAACAACAAGCGCTTAAACATCAAACTAAGTCAACTTTTTGATTAATTTTCTTATGTTTTTCGTGATCCATCAATATTTATTATGGTTACACCTTAAGTTTTTAAAGAAAAATGTTTTAGTTAATTACATTGGGTCAATGAATTGCAATGACGCTGCGATAGCATTAATCAGATGAATAATGCTTGGTCTTTCCTTAAATAAGCCTTAGCAACATGAAAAAAACATCAAAGATGACGTTCGTTAAGATTTTTGGACTGTTCAGGATATTCTTAAGAAAATAAACACCTGTACGTGCGAATATTAAAAATCCTATCTTCTAGGGTTTTAATGTGTGAAAGAACGGATGGTCCCAATTTGGTCAAAACCGGTTATATATTTCAAGGCACAAATTCGGCTGCTGCATTAAGTTGTCAAATATTGAGCGAAAATAAACACCAACTTACCTTTTGTCAAGCAATAACAACAATATCATTTTTTAAATCATAGCATTTTAGCTTAGTGCTTTAAAAATGCAGCGAAACCTGGATTTGAATTATTTGGTTGTAAATGTGGTGCTATAATAAAATTATTACGTGAAATGTGTTTAATTGCATCACATTGATGACGCCACTTTTTATTTCATTAGCTTGCTCAACTGCTGTGCAGTTTTCTTTGTGTTGAAATGTCTATCAATACAGCCCACACGCAGGATGGCCTGGGAATAGTGTTGTTTTTTGGAGAAAGGTTAGTTTGAATTCGATTTTACTTTTTTTAGACTTCTTGTGACTTATGATGGATGCAAGCTTATTCTCACCGGCAAGGGACAGCAGCCTCATGGAAAATATTCAGGCAATGCGTTCCTGACGTCCCACAGGGTAAATTCATTGTTAATTCATCACTCTTTAGGTTATTTTTTTGTCAAAAGATAGGAATCCTCTATTGACGTCTCTAAGTATGCCATTCATTTATATGAAGCGAGTGGCGATTACGCAGCCAACATTTGGTCCTAATCATATCGAAGGCTATGTAAATCCCGAGTCGGGACAGTGGCAAGTGAGTAATGTGTGATAGATTCTATGGATGAATTTTCGGTTCAATTTTATAATGCATGCCATTTCAGGGCGAGCTACCATTCAAGTTGATCTTTAGTCATGGAGGCGCAATCGAATTCGGAAAGTGTCTATTAGAACTAGGGTCTCGGGCAAGCAAGTTGCAGAGTTCTTACAAAGTCCCTTCGGCACCACCTGCCTGCGATATATATGCCTGCCCACCTCCGGCCTACTCACCATTCGTCAACGATGCCTACTACAATAGTTTCATGCAACCACACCCTTCTTTTGCACCACCACCAGGTAATGTAACTGAAATTGCATTTAAATACTGCCTCTAACGCCGGTCAGACAGAGTTGTAAGCAGTGCGGTAGTTTGCTTTTCTGACCACAAAGTATAATAATTGACCGTATCTTATTTGTCTTAAATAATTTGCCTTAATTCTTTCAACGTAAAGATGTTAACCTATGGTGTTTTAGTGGCATATGGCAACTATATGTGTTTTTGTTTCTGGGTTAATTTTGGGTAAATCATTTGCTGACTGTTGTCATACTGAGACTATTATCCGACACATCAATGCTTTGTAAACCATATTTTAGCTGATTATTTATACCAAACGAACGCTCCGCCCCCTTACCCCGGTGCTGTACCGCCGCCCTACACATCGGCGTCAGGCCCCCCACCTGCTTATGGGGGCACGGCGCCTCCACCGTACGCAGCAGCTGCAGACAACAATTGTCCTTATCCTCCTCAATATTCACAAAACGGTACCTATTAATGAAGTCACACTTATTTTCTGATTAAATGTGCAGCGTTGCGCAGTTTTAGGCTGAATTGAGGCCGTTCCACTTTTCCACGTGGTAGGCCATAATCTCCGACGTAGTTCAATTCTTGTGGTTAATTATTCTACAGGAGTAAAGCACAAAGCTGTAGTGTCGCCGTTGTCTTGAAAGTAATTCGAGCGATTGGGCTGATAACTTTGGGCTGCATATGTGTTCTATCTGTTTAACTTTAGGACGTCTCGAATTTAGGGAAGTACATAGAACATGCAAGAACCACGTCAATTTTGTCGAAGCTACACGTATTTAAGGTTTACTGTGGTACAGTTCTCAATATCTGACGTTGCAACCAAGCGATGCTTTGACAGACACAATGTCGTTTCTAGGTTCATTACATTATTCTCTCAACTTGAGTAGCTTCTCGTTGTTCATACTGTAGAAGGCGATAATTTTACAATATGCACATCCCGTGGTCTGTGACGGCCTTCCGTATCCGCTTTTACTTCTCTGAGCCTTAACTGGTTCTATTTTCTTTTTTTACTTTAGTCAACACAGGTTACTACTTCCAACAAGACCCGCACACCGTCTACGCCCCTCCATACAACCAGGCGTCGGCACCTCCTGCAGAACCTGAGGACAAAAAGAACATCTAAAATTGCCTCTTCGCATACTTTGATCGCTTTCGATTCCTCCCGTTGTTTTCAACTTGACAGCAAATCGATCTCCCCGTATTCAGTCGTGTTTTCAACTATTTACTTTGCTTAAAATTATAAGCCATGAGACCATGAATAATTGGTAGTGGAGCATTGACGATTAATAATCCTTAATGTTGTTGTGCTGCCGATGTACTATTTTGGTGTGCATTAATCGAATATTACGTCAAAAATTTGTCTTATGCGCTTTCCACTGCCTGTGGAATTTGCTGGGGCTTCACGTTCGTCGGTATTTAGCAAGGCTTCACAGGTATTCTTGGGCTCACGTCCCCTAGCGGAGGAGTTGGCGCTTACACGCGCCCTAAAAACGCCTACATAAAATCTGACACTCGTGTGAGGCTGTCACGTGCACACAGATACCAGACATGAAGTGGCGCCATTGGTACTAACTAGTAGTAGACTTCATTATCCTGACCTGAGTTGACCTCCAGGTCGTGCACTACACGGATGGTCGCACCAAGGATGTTTCTGTGCTGACAGAGATGTGAAAACATCGGTTGTCTTGCATCGCGTTCGAGTTTACTAGGACAGAGTTTGTGTGTCTGCCTAACTCGCAGAGGGTAGTAGTTTGTTTGGCACGCCCGGTAGTCACATGGCAACGTAAAACGGGGCGTGGGTGGTCGAACCGAAAATTAAGAAGCCGCGAACACCACGTTGGATGTTCAAAAGGCAAAACAGGTTGCCACTCAATGCAACACGAGTACCTTAGATGTAACACGAGAAATTTAGTCGTTACAAATTATGTACATTAAATAAAAATCAATTGATTAGAATCACTGAGAAGGTTGCGTATTCGTTAAGGCCATCGAGTGTCCATAGCCAGCAGCTATGCACGTAGCTTTTCCAACCAACTGTACAGGTCTTGGTTCCCGAATACACCATCCTGGGTGGGAGGGCGTTAGGGGCTCGCTGAGCTCTTCGTCAGAAAGTGCAACGGAGCAATTTCCTGAGGTGCCACACATTCCATGCTCATTCCAACCCCAAGCCCACACGCCGCCGGCCGAGTCTAGAGCAAGACAATGTTCTGAGCCTGCTGAAATGGCCACTATCTTTGAGGGAAGAGGAATGGGTCTCGGGGTTGCATCGAAGGTCAGTCCACTTACTGGCCAGGAGGCACCCAATCGCCCATTATTTGACATCTGACCAATGGGCGATTGACGGCCAAGTTGACCGAAATCATTGCGACCCCAAGAAAACACTTTGCCACTTTCTACAATGAAAAAAAGTATACCTGCAACCATTAATGACATTTATGCAGATAAGGACGATGAATTTCCAGTTATAATACTTCAAACGTAAAATCATGGGAAACAATGAGTCGGTACTATAACCCGATTTAAAAAGACAGCAGCCTATACTATCCTTTACCGAGCGGAATACGCAGAACCAATGCTACATACGCACTTTGCGAAAATTGAAGCCGGATGATAGCATAGAAGCGAGTGTAGAACGATTTTCTACACAGATATCAATAACAGGATAGTGACAGTGGAAACGGTAACCACTTTGATATTGACAAAACGAAAATTAGAAACCAGGGCGCGGTGACTATATAACGCATATTTCGTAAGTATAAATTCGTAATTAATAGAACATTTACGTACCAGTGAGTGCGAGAATATGACTCCAACCTGACTGAATATCAATTATTCGGTCATTATCAAAAAACTCGTTCCGTATCCATTGGATTTGATCGGTTCTTCCAGAACGTCCTTTCTCATCACTAAGCAGGCAGGGCGATATGCCGCCCTGCCCAAAGCGCACATCCCCCCACACACCGACATTTCCTGCATCTTAAAGTCAACACACATATACCAAGCTCAGTCTTTTACCAGTCCAGACGATTGCGTGACAAGCACCAGCCGCACATCCAATCACCCTTTCTGAAGTCTGGTTGCCCAAGGCAAGGTCTACATCTCGTAGCTGATTGCCCGTCCATTGAAGTATTGAACCTATATCTTTAATACTATTAAAAGGAATGGGGCAAAACATACCGGAAATAACAACTGCGTGACAAAGACCAGCTGCTATGTGTTGAATTGGGGGTACATTTGTCACAGAAGCAAGGCCATCTAACCACTTTGTGATGGGCATATCCTTGAGCAAGAAGCCGGGAGTGTTGTGACCCCCGAAGTAAAGCTTCCCAGATTGAGACAAGACCAGAATAAAATCCCAGCCGCAGGCAAGAGCACTTATTCCTTCCTCAATTTCACCCAAAACCTGAAATGTGGCACGTTGAGTGGCCAGCTCCTTTGGTTTTAGTTGACCAGCTATCCAAATCGTGCGGCCTAAATGGTTAACAAATAGACAATCACACGTACCTTCGGCAAAAATAGAAAATGTTCCGCCTCCAGAAATAAAGCTGGGTGTCTGAACAAATGGAACCTCGGATGGCATGTGTTTGTCAATGGTAGAACCAATCCCCAATTGACCATGGCTATTCGATCCCTAGAAAAACCATAAAACAGGTGACTTTATTAAGACCTTTATTTTGCCCCAGTTGAGTGAATTTTCAGTACTGCATATAATTAACCAACAGCGAAGTAGCAGTCAGTCATGGTCTACTTATGGAAAAACTAGCATCAGTGGAGGCAGGGGTCAAAGTTCAAAAGATAGATGGCACATTAAAAAACGATACGATGCAATACCAGTTTTAAAAAGGCATCCAAGGAACAAGCAACGTCGCAAAAGACTCGAACACTCGTGTGTTCTTACAGAGAGGGGAATCTAGCACTACAGGATGGCAGAGTTGGTTGAACCGAAGCACCTAAATAACAAATCTCATGCTATTGTGAAAATTCGGCATGCGTTTAAAATTTTCGGGTGAAAGCATCGTGACGTCCGATAATCAGATGATCCCGCTCGTTACAACTGATACCACCAATGAAATCAAAAAGGAGTATCATTATCGACTTATTGGAGAAAACCAAAGGTACTTATGCACTGCCCAGCAGCGCATAACACGGCTGACGTGGGATTAAATCGTTTCTTTTTAACAAGACTGGTCACGCATGATCAATTATTTGCTTAACTTGAAAGCTACGATCTGCAAGAAATGATACAAAAAATATCGGTAGGCCTTAAAAACAGGGTCTGCACAGAACTTAGAAATAGATGTACCGATAGCGTTTTCTGCTTAATCTTACAAAGGAGAAAGGACACCATTTATAGGCAGTTCTGGTTTCATGAACATGGTTCCAAAAGAAAGTGGAGCACAGGAAGCGGAAGCTAATTAGGGTCAACTCTATGATATATAGCTAGTGCAAAAATCCACGGAAAGTTAAAAGATGAAAATAATAAGCTGGAAAAAATTAAATGCGACTTTTCCACGGTACACCAAACTAGAAAAAAACCGCTGTCCTGCTCACCCAGGAAAACATTGCAGATAACAAATTGCCAGCATCCTATTGCTGTGGTGTAGCGGAATGGCAGGCGGCAGCCATATTGGTGACGGTGGTGAGCGCGGCGCGGAGGCGACGTCACGTGACCGG